AAGAGCGGTGTGGAGAGGGTGAGATTATTTACTGCCCCGTCTTGGTGGCTTCATCATTTTCCTATTCAGAGAGCCAACAAAAATGCCTTAAAGGCGGCCTTTGGAGCTCAGGGAAAAGCTACATAGTCTCATGACCACCGGAGAAAAAACCTTCTGCTCAAAGCCAGCCCGTAGGTTTATTATTTTTTGAACATTTCTGCCCTACTTCACAAACTCCTGCACGGTGTTTGTTTAGAAAACACACAGCTCCAGCCTCTGCCAGGACGCAGGAGAGCTGCTGCACATCAAAATGCCCTGTGGCTTGAGGGAAGGTGCACGAAGCTGAGCGCCAGGAGGTGATGAGTTTCATACCTCGCCTCTACTCCAAAGCTTTGTTGATAGAAATCTGCTTTTGTCAACATAGCCGGGGGGCTGCCTGCAGACAATACCTCCAAACTGACAGAACTCCAAGTTTCTGTTTGTAGAATAGCCTCACCTGCCTGCGTGATGTCAGCTTACCGCAGCCCCCGGCTACGCGAAAAGATCCATGCCCCAGCCAGCTACAGCAGTCCTCCGGCACCGATGCTAGCCCCGCCGACTGCAGGTTTCAACTCAAACTGTCTGGAAGCCTGCCTTCCTCTTTAAATCGTCATTTCTTCAAGCGCACCATCGGTTTTAGTGGCTTCGAGTGAGTAAATGAACGTGGCACCGAACCCTAAGTGTGTTGCCAACCCCCTGCGCCCACCTGGAGCTGAGCTGGGGTCCTCGGCCGCCTCAAACCCCAACTGGGGGAAAACTGCGTGGGGGCATCTTCAGAGAAACCTCTGTAATTGCAACACACATGAAAAGAGCCCAAAGTGTGCGGGTCCGGGGGCGTGGGGCTACGCGCGAGATGAAAAACAGCGCGGGCCGAAGCTAACGATCCCCCCAAGGCTCGTAACTGCGCAGTCTTAAATATTCAGTGCTGCAGGGCTTCGGTTGTCTCCTGCCCTTTCTTCTCCTCCTGGGAGCCGTGCAAGAGTCTAACCCTTAGCTTGTCCTCACTGCAGATGTTTTAAGATAGCTTACGCCATGGGAGGCAGCGATGATCTTATTGACGAGGAGCGAAAAAAAGAACGATCCTGATCTCCAGCACCTCCCCAGATGAGAATCTGCTCGATACCCATGCACCAAAGCCGGTGCCGGTTGCAGCAGAGAACGAGTGGCGTGGACAGAAAAGGCAGCCTGATAAATAACAGCTTTTACTGCTCCTTGCCCTGAGCACGAGCTGACTTTCTCCTGGGCACCGCACGCTCCCCAGCACGGCTCGGTTTTGGTGCGTGCCTTTTTCACCCTCTGTGCTGGTAGCTCAGGGGGTAGAGAGGGGACGACCGCTGTGTTTTCTAGTTCTTGGCTCTCCCTGCTGCAGCAGGGTGCTATCACTCGGGTGTGTTCTTCGAAGCGCTCATTTATCCAGAAAGGATGAATCTTTATCTCAGCCAGGATCTCCAGGAAGCACTTGCAGGCTGTCCTTGAGATTCCCTATCCCTGAGCTGTTCCTTCACCCATGGCGTGACTCTCTCTGCCCCTCTCTAAGCACTTAAAGCTCAGCAAAATGCCAAAGCCTGGCCTCCAAAAGCACTGGCATTTGTTTTTTCTGCCCTCTGCTCAGCCACGGCTGTAAACCAGAAGGCAACAAAAAGGTAAAACGGTGTTTTCTGCCGGCGCACGCTGCACGGGCCTGCCCGTGCCTCCTAGCAAGAGAAGAGCGAGTGCCTTGCCGACTTACCACGGCAGCCCTGCTAGGCACACCAGCAACAAGATTTCTTTGCCGGCAGCTTTCCCGCTGCACCGCTTGTGTGAAAAGCCGACGCAGAAGCGTTGGGAGTTGGCAACAATTACACTGAAAGCAAAGAGAAATAGATAAATAAGCGTCCTGGCTCTTTTCCGCTGGCGTCCCTCAGCACGTTGTAAGGGCACAACAGCTATGGTTGCCGTAGAGCTCTTGGCAACGAACGGGCGTTCGAAGGGTTCGTGGAGCTGGTGAAGAGATCGGATGGGTGAAAAGACCAAAGGCGGTGCGGACTGCTAGAAGCAGCAAAAGGCAGGAAGCACCCGTACGGACGGGAAACATTATGGATTCTGACAACAAACAGAAACGCTGCGGAAGCTGATGACCGCCAAAGGCGGCTCGGGTGATGGATATACAGGAGTAGAAGTGCATGAGGGTGTTCTGATTTTGAGCGGCTTTTCGGACTCCACACCCAAAATACCAGGCCCCGAACGGGCCGGGGGAGGGAGGGAGGGAGGGAGGCAGCTGCGGCACCGCGCGAGGAGCTCTCTCCCGCAGCCGGAGGTGTGCCGCGCTGGCACCGGCTGGGCAAACCGCACGCTCCGCTGCCTGCTCTGAGTCACCGTTATTACTGTCAGCAAAACCCCGCCATAGCCCCTTTGTCTCATCTTTTCTATGGTCTTGTGATGATCATTTCTGTGCTTCACAGCTTTTATTGCCCTTTTTCTTAGGCGTAAAGGATTCTTCGTCTCATAAGACACCACACGACCTAAAAGGATGTCCAAAGCCGTTCCTGCGAGAAGCAGG